GCGCGGCGACCGGATCTGGTCGAGGATTGCTGTCGCGGAGAGGGGGGCGTGTGTGAGGGAGACGTGCGTCTGGGGGGACGAGAGGTGCCAGGGGCCTTGGTCGGGGGTGGCCATTGTGTGTGTGTGTCTGTGTGTGTGTTGTGGAAGTACTGGTAGGCGTGGTAGTTTTGGGGTTTCTGCCTGATTGGGGATGCTTGGTTGATCAGATGAGAGGGCGCATGAGGCTGGCTTTCAGATTTGGGCGACGATGATCAGTCGAAATGATGGATTGTGAAACTTCGTGTAGTTTGTCTCACAGAACGTCAGATGAGTCCCCGATGATGCTCAGTTGATGCTGTGGAGATGCTGGAATTCCCTCACCGACTTCACCGAGATCCTCACCGAGCCCCTTGGCTGCAGTATCACCCCACACGAATAGGGGTAGAGTCGAGGCCTCGATGTCCTACGTGCTGTCACTGATCAAAATGGTCTGCAGAATCAGCTGATAATTTTTACAGGCCTGCTTAGATAAAGCCTTGACGTACGACCTCGCCACCGATCTGTGTGCTGTCCACAGACTTAATTTGCAGCCCCGGCGAAATACTCTTCAGCTTCAGGAACGTCTTGCGCTCAGACTGCCCTGCGTCATGTTCCGCACCTTAAAACATCTCATCACGCCGAGCTTCATCTTAGTCAGACTCACGACTGATCACCAGCTCAGCTGCGGCTGTCACATCATGCCCATCGCCTCCGAAGCTGATAGTCGGCTTCACATCAACCGGGACGTCACCCCACTCCGTATCAACATTGGCCCAAGCAGACTCAGTACTCGCCTCCATCTGAGACGCAATGTCGACAACCGTGATCTCAGGGTGTTGATATGCGGCAAATCCCGCAGCAGCAACCTCGCCAAGCCAGCCGAGAATCGACTCGCGCGCCCGCACGAGTATCATCTCGACATAGTAGGGCTCGCCCGAGCTGTAAACAGCCGCGGTACCGTGGTTTAGAAAAGCAGAAGTCTTGCTGTTGCCATGAGGTCCCGCGAGGGGCATATCAGCCGGCTCTTCGGATGTAATGTATGCCCGGGCGCGCTGCACGGCAGGTCAGCAATAGAAATGATGAACGACAGTGCGATTATAGGACGGCGCACCTACCTTGGCAAGAAAATCCCTAAAGTCCTGGTGCTTCAGGCTTGCACTGTCGGTGATGCCACCGAGAATGGAAAGCGTGTTTATGCGACTTCCCCACCGGCTCCAGACATAGTCTTGGTCTAGGTACGCCTCAAGCATATCTGCACTAAGGCCGATGCCAAGGAGGTCAAGTCGCGCGTCTTCGCTCGTCAGGGCAGGCAGTACAGCCTCAAATATGTAGCTGATGTGCTTTTCTGACGTCTCGAGCCCGGGAACCTGGTTTGCTGTGGTGATGCGGCGGCCGTGATGTGCGAGGCTGGCGAGTGGCATATCAGACATGTGGCCGAGGGTCAGGCGCGCTCTTCTCAGGCACCAGAACACGGCGCCCACATTGCAGAGAATGATGCCTGGAGATTGCGAGTCGTCGGGTGACGAAACTTGCTGCTTGAGGGTCTGCACAACCGAGACCATGGTGCCCATGCTGATGCCGCCGGGCCCGTTGGCAACGCGCAAGGCGAGGATGCCGAGGCTTTGGTTGGGTTCGCCGAATATGACGGTGACTCGTGACTTGCGATATAGATCTGCGCTCGCGAAGATGGTCACTTGGGGATCTGCGGGCTTTGAGCCAAAGGGAAGGCTATGCTGCTCTAGGCCTTCGGCTTCAAGGCGGGCATGGACAATCTTTTGGACGGCATCTAGTGATCGATCAGCGGGAGAAACCGAATGACTGCGTGCTGCAGACGGACCGTTGAAGTGGAAACGTTGACGGCCGTTGACACGCATGTTCTTATCGATCCAGTATTTGAAGTAGCGGTCGGGGTCAGTGACGCTGCGGATCTCGTCATCTTCGTTGATGAAGTACCTGTGACGGTTAGATAGAGTTGCACCAACGAGCGTTTGACTAACCCAAGGTCCTTGAGATTGGAAGGAAAGAGATAGTCTCTGGGGAGACCAGACCACTTGCGGCGGAACATTGTGCAGATCGATGTCTGAGACTGAGGGGAAACCGAGAAGGAAGTAAGCTGATAGTATCGGTTAACGTAGACTCTGGGCGAACGAATAGCACGGTGAGTGAATGGTGACTGGATGAGCGGACTGATGCATCGTTTGCGGTATTCGATCGCTGACGGCATACACTGCAGCCCGTGCCCGAATGTATTGGCAAGGAGGACAAGTTGCGAGAAGACCGCTTCGGCCTCCTGCCCTCCAGGTTACTACCCACTTAGATACCAGGCAGGAGGAGTCTACTTGCAGGACCGAGATTTGAGGTTTGAAGGTACTCCGCCCAAACAACCGCTGGGCCCCATAATCAAACACGGCGCCGCCCAAGACTGATTTCTGAGACGACCAGTACCTCGTTGAACCAAATAAAATCGTCTATTTTCGCCAGGTAGTGGATTGTTATACATGCTAAGCGTCGGCGCGGCCTTGGGATCCACCATCCAGGCCAGCAACCGCCCATGAATATCACGCCGTCCAGATCTCGTCACGGCACGACGGCAAACGCCATTCGGCCTACTAGTTGTACACTGGCATCGTCCCAAGCTCCCTTCGCGGCTCTACCAGCTCGCCTTCTTCACGCCTGGCAGGTTGCCCTGGTACGCCTCCATCCTGAACGCAAACTGGTCCAGCGAGTTAGCACTTTCGACCGGGAGATCTGGTCATTTTCACAACACGGGTTTGACGCACCCTGGACATCTTGAAGTCCCTGAAAACACCGCGGCTCTTTCCACCCATAATGCACCGGTTCCTGATCTGCGTGGGGCGCGTGTAGGCGTGCATCTGCGTCAGCTGCAGCTGGGCTTCGGCGCGCACGCGAGGCGGCAGGGTCGTGTTGCGAATGAGGTATCGGAGGGCTTGCCTGCGCGAGGGTGAAAAGTGATTAGCTAAGGTTCGTCACCCGGTGCGCATGGGTCGTGCGAGCTGCCTACCTCTGGGTCTCGTGCTCCTGGAAGACCTGGCGCTTGGCGTTGTCGCGCAGGACGCGCACATTGGTGAAGCAGCTCAGGGTGAAGCAGCTCAGGTCGAGCTTCTTGGGGCGGAACATCGACATCGTGGGCGGTTGGTGGCGGGTTGTGCTGCTGCTCGTCGGGATGCGACGGTCGGCGGCTGAAAGTTTGGCGATGCGATTGATGGCGGTTGGATGTTTGATGTGGGTCACGTGGACTACGGCGGGCTATGCCGACAGAAAAGATGCAGGCGTGTAGTCGGCTCCACTACCTGAACTTGTCACTCCATGCCCCTGACATGTACCAGCATCTGACTTGTTCATGATGTGGGAACCCAAGCTCACAAAATGGCATGGCAGCCCGAAACAACGTAGCCATCGGACAATCCAGAACGGAAGACGAAATCCCTTTTTTCTTCTCTCCATTTCTATCATTTGTACCATAAGCGAGTGCATGTTTGGAAGTACCTGATCAGACATGAGCAAGCACAATCTACTTCCTACATAGTCGTCCATCGTCGCGCTCTTCCCACCGTTCATTACCAATACATGGCTGGCACCAAAACACATCATCAGGGTCGATCTTTCTCTTGATCTGCGCCAGCCGTTCGTAATGCTTGCCCCAGAATGCCTGCTGGAAATTCGGCTCGTACTTCAGGGCCTGTAGACTGTCAACAACCAGCAGCAGAAGGATGACCAAATCGACCTACCTCGTTCACGTAGGAGCCTCCACCAGGCGTGAGCTGTCGAAGCGGCTCAAAGTGAGTCGTGAGAGTCTCGATGGCCTCACTCTCGGCTGGCTTGTTAAACGGCGGAAACCCCATGCTGCCGACTGCAAGTTTTATCAGTCTTGTGCATCTCAGTAAAATCACAAACTTGGAACGTACTTATATGCAAGTACGCCTTGCGCCAGGCTGGGTGGACGGCATTTCCGCCTCCCCGTGGCTTTGCGTTGGCCACGCCTTTTCCGGCCACGAGGAAAGCCGACAATCCACCCGTAGGCCCGCCTGCCGTCTCAAGCGCACTCTTTAACGCATCTTGATCACCTTCAAGCACATCCTTGGGTAGCAGCCGCGAGACGAGGTACGTGGAGTTGCCAGCGGTGCCCTGGTCATAGTACACGTCGTACCAGTCGATGAACGAGTCGAAATGCTGCTCCTGGGCGTAGAAGAAGACCATGCCCGGCCAGCGTTCCTGCAATGTCTCGTTGAGGGCACTGAAAAGTTCGAGCATCGCGTCGGGCTCCTGGTCCTGGAGTATTGCAATGCCCATAAGACCGCCGACCTCCTTCGGTCCGCCAGTGATGGGAAGTGGGCTCGGCGTGCGAGCTGATGAGAAGAAGTAGCCAGACAATCCTGCATCGCCCCATGTGGGAAGACGAGAGAAGGCAAGCGTGATGATGTCCCAGAGGAAGGGGGCGTCAGCTGCAGTTCCGAGCATAACCCTGAAGCTAACAATCTTCGGACTCGGGTATGTCTTGAGCGTTATGGACGTGAGGACACCAAATGTGCCGCCGCCGCCCTGGTCTGCGTTAGTCCTGTCGATCGACACATGGCGGCAAGCTACTGACACCGCGAATGGCCCAAAAGAGATCCTGGTTTTGGCACTCGTTGGCCGTTACGATATCACCCTTGGGTGTCACAATTTCTGCCTGGAGAACCTGATCCGCCGCAAGACCGTGCTTGGCACTCAGGATAGAGTGACCGCCGCCTGTAATATAACCACCTAGCCCAACAGACTTTCCGCCACCCCCGACCATGGTGTGGTTATACTTGGCGGCAGCAAGGTACGCATCATAGACCTGAACACCACCGCCAGCTGTGAGGGCGCTACCAGATATACTAACGTCGCAGCCGTCTGGCATGAACTCGTCTTTATGGTAAGTGATGTCTCTTATGTTATGGGTCCAGATTGACAGAGCACCAGGGGCAATGGACCGTCCAAGGTAGTCGTGCCCTGTATTTTTCACCACGAGTCTTACATTGTGCTTTCGCGCTGCGATAGTGTCAGACCGATGACCAGGTCGAATTGGAAACACTCACCAAAGGCAATGCCTAGCTTCACGTGTTCGGCGGTGGTAGCGTTGACAACGTACGGAGGGTATCCTGCAGGACTGCACGGATAAGAGGGGTTGGGAAGACAGCTATCGTTACTGAAATTGTCCCACATGACCGAGATGGGATTTTCAGTGTGGAACTCGTAGACGCTCCATGCTGCCTCGACGCTGGGGCACGTTTCACGGTTGTATGTGGGCTGTTCTGGATGACAGATAGCTCCAGGAGGAGCTGGTCGCAGCAGTCGACCTCCAAGTGAGAGTTGAAGCTTGCTCCACTGCTTTGCTGAGGGCCATTGGGGATCGCTTGGGTATACCTTGCAGACCTGTTGTGGTACACAGATGCCATGGCAGAAGGAGGAGAAGCATGTCAAGACGAGCAGGAGTATGGTGGTCTGAAATCTGGACAAAGTCATGGTAGTATTGTGAGAGTAAGGAATCTCTTCAAAGTATCGAATTTCGGAACCTGACTCTCATCCAAGAAAAAGTCACATCGAGGATCTTATATGGATGGCTTCAGGTTCGTCATTAGTACAAGCTCCCGTTCGGTCTCCAGTGAGCGGTGCGGAAAACAACGAATCAATTATCGTTGACCGGCACATGAGCAGCCTGTAAGTGAGACGGCGTGCTGTTCTTGACCCAGTTTAAGCGTTGATGACGGAGAGCCGAACTCACTGCCAGCGCTTCCAACCGTTGCCTGGTATTCCCGCTATGATCTTCAAGACGGTGGCCAATGAGGGTCTCTCGTATTGCTCGCTTTCCACAGCAGCAGCGCTAGCAGAATAAGCCTGCAGGAACAGCCCTACAAATATCTGCACAGACGGTTGACACGATCAGTGGTTCGGCTGTGCGGCACGGTCAGCTTGACTCGGTCGAGTACTGAAGTTCAGCTGCTCGCTGAACAATGACTGTTGCCTGGTGCAGTGTCGAACTCGGCGCGAACCTGCCCGAGAAGACTCTTTAAGTGCCTAGGTAGTAAGAGAGTCCGACTCGGCTTGCGCAATACTGGATCAAGGAAAATCTTCTTTGGTGGCTGATAGCCATATCTTCTGGCCTCTGAGGTTGGCAGGGGTCCTCAATTGAGGCCAAGCACGATTCCACCCGAACGAGCACACGTTACACCTCAGGTACCTGTAGGCACAGACACAGAGGTACATGGAATGGAGCTCGCCCGAGCTCCCTAGCTGTCTCCACTTAAATATTTCCAACGCCAGAGCAGATGCTCCTGTGTTGGCTTGATCACGCTCTAGGCTTCAACTCTTCTCTGTCGATTTGCCCCGGAGTTCGAAACACTTGCACAAGGTCCGCCATGGCTTCAAAACGAGACTACGCCGACTCGGCCAGCGATAACTCCGTCGAGCCAGCCGCGAAGCGATCCAAGAGCCAGTCGAACAAGGCTCGACAACACCAGAACTCCCACATTGATCCGACGTGGGGTCAGAAGTACGTCTTTGGCAACCACGACGGCGCCACCACGGTTCCCGTCGATCCAGAGCTCGATTTTGAAGATGACGGAGATGCCATGGCCTATTTGAAATCTGTGAGGTAAGCTTCAAAACTCTCGGGACACAACACACGTCGATCTCGCGCTGAACCAGTTCTCCCACCCCTTAGTTGTGCGAGTACCTCGTTGCTGACGTGGTGAGTATACAGGCAAGAAGCCAACGGCATCCCGCACCTGCTTGTTGCGCCGAAGATACCCATCGGCCCACAGCTACCGACGGACTTCCAGCATTGGACAAGCGACGACGAGCCCAAGGAGGGCGAGGAGGACAGGCACATGGACCGTGGCCTGTACGACGAGGGCACTGGCGACTTCCGAGGCCGCTACGTCGACGGCGCATACATTGGCGCGCCAGAGTCGTGGGACGAGGACGCGGCTTACGGCGACGACGAGGACGGCGCAGCGTGTGACGGCGACGCCGCGGAACAAGACGAGGACGACGCCTCCGACGCCGCCATCCACGAAGCCTACTTCGCCTCGCTCCTCTCCCACTATTCTGCCCTTCGCACCCTCCTCCACAGCAAGCCGCCCGAGGAGGCCGTCCAGAACCTGTCTCGCACGCACAGCCCCTTCGTCGGCCACTTTGGCCCCCGCTCCGCCACATTCAAGATCTGGGACCACCGCCTGCGCACGGCCGACCCGTCCCCCGTGCAGGTCGCGAGCATGGACAAGGATAGCGTCCTCCGGGTCCTGCGCGTGCTGCTGTCGGGCAGCTTCCTGCGGCGCGGGGGCGAGATTGCCGAGCGCACGAGCCGCTGGGTGTGGGCGCTGCTCGCGCGGCTGCCGGACCGCGGCGAGCTGAACCACGTCGAGATGAGCTGGATACGGGACCTGGGCCGGCGCGCCGTGCTGATGAACCAGAGCCTGGCGGACATGGCGAACCTGAGGGAGGCGCTCGAGGGGGACCTCGGGGTGCACGATGCCATTGATGACAGCTCGGATGATGACGCCGTGCTCGAGGACATGGAGGTTGACGAGAATGACGGCGAAGTTGTCGATGCTGGCGATGCTGGCGATGCTGAAGACGCCACCGCAGATCAAGACGATCAAGCGATACATCGTAGAGAAGGCCGGGGCACGGAGCAAACCGAACAAGGTGAGACAGACGACGGCGACAACAACAAGGTCCCCGAGAGCGAACCCTTAGAGCCGGCAGCGGAGCCCAGAGTCGAACCTCGGCGCAAGGACACCAAAGACGACGACGTGCAGTCAGAGCCCATGGACTGCTCCGAGGATGGTGAGGCCTCAGAAGAACAGGTCCCACGAGATCCGCAGGCCCCGCGGTCGGAGGCTGAGAACCCAGAGAGTCTCGAAGCGATGCGAAGTAGAATTCTCGCTGAGCTGGACACAGTCGAGGTGCAAGGCGCCGAAGAGGAGGCGACAGAAATACAGGCAGCCGAAGACCGGTGGCGTGCAAGAACCAACATGCGCGCGACCCTGAATATGATTTTGACCGTCGCCGGCGACTTTTACGGGCAACGAGATCTGCTCGAATTTCGAGAGCCTTTTACAGGTATGTAGGTAACTTGCACTGGGAGACTCAGGGGACAAGGTTAGTGAGCGAATCCCGGAAAGCTGTAAATTCAACGTGGTACTCTAGTGTAGCAAAAGCGTCAACCCAACGCAGGTAATCAAACAGACAGTGGTACAAATGTCCTCAAAGCAGCTCTTGCAGAGTACAACTCCTCCCAACGCCATATGCTGGTGGCCCATCCTCCTCATCGTGTGACCTCGCGCGCGCCGAGTCAAGCATCTGTCATGTCCATACCCTCCTCGACTAGGAAGTCAGCCTCTTCGAAATCCCTCAAGTTCTCCTGCCCTGAGCTCGTAGTCGTTGTCGTTGTCGCGGCCTTGCGCTGCCCCAGACGCCTCGGCATGGCCATCGGCCGGGCATTGGCCCATCCTGCAGGGGACAGGCTCCGCGGGCTCACATCGTCGTCGGCCCAGGCGCTCTTGCCTGAATACGGTACTTGCAGACTGTCTGTCGCAGCCTCTTCTTCGTCATCATCATAGATGCGCTTCCGTGATGAAGCGGAGACGGCGCTCTCGACGCTTTCCTGCGAGCTGGTCAAACCCGGCACATCGTCAATGTCAGGCACGTCGCTGTCGTCCTCGCCGCCGTCGTCAATACAGTCGACAGGCTGGCTCGCGAAGCCACCGATGTTGTGAATGCCGCAAAAGGGAAGCAGTTCGCGCTGCGCGGGAGCCTTGAACGCGGGCTTGGCCTTGGTCGTAGGGGCGACGGACGTGTCGGACCAGAGCTTGAAGGCGCTGTATGAACCGGTCTTGTAGCCCTCGGGCACACTCTTGCGGACGCGCATGCCGACGCTGAGGAGATTGGTCTGGACGCTCGCGGGGAGCGTGGCGGCTGCCGGCTGAGAACTCGAAGGCGGCGAAGTTGAAGGGGTGAAGAATGAGGTGATCTGGCGCTGGGCGGGATCAGAGGCTGCACCAGCGAATTGGCGCTTGGTTCGGGGTGTAGACATGGTGGAGGTGTTGATGAGGCGAGGTTTGTAAAACGGAGAGGTGAACTGGGACAAGGCAGGGCCTGCAGTGTCGTCGGCTTTTGTAGTATGGGTGCTCGAAAGGGAAACTTTGTTGAGGTGGTGGTGGCCTTGATGGTTGGCAGCAGCGATGTCGTGTAGCGACAGGTTGGAGTGGAGATGGTCAGTTCGGTTTTTACAAAGAGGGAAGACCGCAAGCAACAACGAAACGAGACAGTCGGTTGCAAAGGGGGGCCCAAAACGCTCTGTCGCAATGACGCAAATGGAGGGGAAGCTCGGTTGGTAGGGAGACGGAATGAGAAGAGGGCAAGATTCCACAGGTGCTGGGGGCAGACGAGAGGCAGGGAAGATGGTCAGCATGTGGTGGGGTCCGAGGGCGTCGTCACAGCAGCGTGGGCTGGACCGGGTGCGACTGCCCAAAACCACCCAACACGGCCCTGAATCCACTCAATCCAGGGCGGAAGGAGGGTCCCTGCGTCCTTTCCCCGTCCCGCGTCGGGCGTGTTTTTTCGCGCTCGTCCCGCGTTTTAGCGTCCTAACTGTCTGGGGTGACAAAGAGCTTGCAGTCATTCGTTGTGGGGCATCAGCGTGGCCTCCTTCCTTGTTAGCCCACTACCTACCTACCTAGGTAGGGGAGGTAGGTACCGCCGACATTGGTGACTGTAACTGCAACCGATTGAGGAGGGCTGAAGCTGCCAACAGCAGCATCCGCATCAGCATCAGCAGGAGCCATCAAGCATATTCTGGCCGCTGCCAATCCTTGTATACCTATGCACCTGGCTGGACAGAGACTACCTTATCCACAGCATCCGCCCTCGTCTGACTCGACACCCTTGCTGTGTGAGCCAACGGGTGACAACGGCTGCCGTGTGAAGTGAAGTCATTCGACGATCCCCTCCGCATGTGTCGACCGTGACCTTGCCGATCTACCTCTTGGAAAACAGGCTGTTGAAATCCACTCCCTTGACAACACCTGCAACCGCCACGCTCCTCGTATCTGCCGTGACATGGCGAATGTCTTGGTCGATCGCACCTAGGTCATCTGTGTTGATGTAGCCTGCCAACGCTGTACTGTCGTGTATGGCCTTGACATCCTGGATGTTTTGCGCATGCCGTGCTGTGGCCGCTTTCTGCATACTTTCCAGGCACACCTCTTGCAGCAGACGGTTCGCTTTCTGAAGGACCTCGAAGTCTCGTACAACATCGCGTCGGATGTCTCCCGCCGCACCCTCTGGAGCCTGCGCCAGGTGCTGTGTTTCGCCCAGAACGATCTGTCGGTCGCTCTCGATCTCTTCAGCTTGCTTCCTGGCGCCATCCAGGCGTACCCGAGCTTCTGATTCAAGCAGTCGTGCGCCCTTCACTGTCTCGGCCTCTACACCTACGCCTTTCGGCATCTGCTGTAACCTGTGCTGGTATCAGACCTTGTGCTTCTCGCGGCAAAATTTTCAGTGTAACAAGGTGGGGCGAGTCGACCTACAGGTTGACCGTTTGCAACGATAAACACAACGTGTCTTTGTAGTCCGCCAAACGCTCTCTGAACGCCTTGGTCCTGCTGACGCCAAATAGACCGATTCGCCATCTGTCAGTCCAGAACATATGGGTCTGCGTAGAATGCTTCAGCCAGTTTTTCAGAAGACCTTGAAAGTCGTTGCAGGCAATGCGACAATTGTCCGTGGCTGTCCACATGGTCGAGGTCGGCGCGTTGGCGGTCTGCTGTCGGTCGTCGTCCTGCAGAAAACGGTCCAGCTGTGCAAAGATCGAAGCAAGAGTCTCAAGATCGCGTCGAATGGCCTGCACCTCTCGGGGAGCATCTTTGATATCCTCAATGGTTCGTACGAGTATTTGCACGCTCTGAACGGCAGCCACAACGATACCTACAGTGGATGCAGCGGCACTAAGACCGTCCATCGTGACGACGATTGATTGTTCAGGGTGTTGTTCAAGACTAAATCAGCGCTCAGTCCATCCAGCTGAGCCCAGCTATTTCGAGGCCAACATGGCTTGACACTTCAGCCCAGGCAGAAGCAGGAGGGCGCAGCCTGGTCCATCCGGGCGCTTAGACGTGCGATCTGATAGGGAGCGCTTGGAACGTCGACAGACAAACGTTTGGATGCTGTAGCTGGAAAACGAAACCGAGTACACCCTCAGTTTGCAAATACAACAGCGCAACCCCTTTCGATAAGGTAGACATCATACTTTACTTCAAGCAACGCCAGGATTTGCTGAGGCATCTCGCTTCAGCAACACCTTTCGGCAGATGAGCGACAGCGCGGACACGCTCGAAGAGCCTTTCCTGGCTTCCAACGCGCAGTTACGACCGCAGCAGAGCATCCGGCATGTCTCAGCGAATAATGGCTCCACCGCCGTCGCTGTATTCACCACAGGGCCTGTGAATCTGCCAAATGCCGTTCACCCTCAAGGTACAAGCACGTCCGGTAAAAACATCACGGCATAGTCTCTGCTCAGATAGGTTGTTTGCACAGCGTCTGACTAACGTCATCATGGTGTATTAGATGTGCTGGCAATCCAGGGGACCAAGCATAGTGTTATCCAAACTAAGATCTTTCTCTCCGACCCCCAAGTCGATCGCGAGAGGGTTATCACCAAAAAAGGAGAAAGAACACCGAAAACATGCGAATGGATCAAAGGACATGAACTCTTCACGAAATGGCTCACTAAAAAGAGTGATCTCAGCCTGCTCTGGATCTCTGGTGGACCCGGCATGGGTAAGACAATGCTATCGGTTTTCCTCACTTTCGAGTTGGAACGGCTGTTTGCCGTAACAGGAGATCAGGTTCTCTACTACTTCTGTAGCCACGACGACGCACATGAGAGTTCAGCGGCTGCCATTCTTCGGGGCCTCATTTATCAACTCTTACAGAGTCGAGAAGACTTGGCTCCTGTTGTCGCGCGTCATCTTCCCGAAGAGGCATCTGCTCAGCATACACGTAACGTCGTAACTTCCTTCGAAAGCCTTTGGATAATTTTTCGAGCTTTGGCTGCTTGTTTCGATTCCTCGATATCATTGTTCTGTCTCGTGGATGGCATCGATGAATACGACCAGGACACTACTGGACCCCTAATCGACCGACTTCGCAGGCCAGGTGCGTTAGGATCAAATGTCAGAATGCTCATCGTCAGCCGAGACATTCCGGCACTTCGTGGCCTTACACGGCTGAAGCTTGACCCTGATAATCATGATTCGGTGCAGTCTGACATTGGACGCTTCATCGCGTATGAGGTGGCTCAGCTGTCGCAGACGCACAATCTCGACCCGCAGTTCTGTACCAAGATCGAAAGAGATTTGCTACGGAGATCAGAGGGGACTTTCCTGTGGGTTGGATTCGCGATGCAGGAGCTCGCGAGGCAATCTACTTCAAATCAGATTCAGAATGCACTCGCATCACTTCCGCATGGCTTGAACAGCACATATTCTCGAATCTTGATGCAGATCAAGGAATCCGATAGGCGTCAGACGGCCTTATTACTACAGCTCACCGCCATCGCGGTCCGTCCCCTCACTATAGCTGAACTTGCTTCGCTCATAGGTAATGACGAGTCCCCTGAGGTCCCTGCCGAACGAGCGACACTCGATGCAATAGCATTGTGCGCCAACATTCTCAGGCGCGATGACGATCAGGTCACGTTTGTCCATCTGTCGGCGAAAGAGTATCTGCAGAAACAGCTGCCGATCCTTATGAACAACCAACCTGGCCTTCGCACTTTCTATATTAGTGCTGAGGATGCTCAACTATATCTGGCTGAGGCATGTGTCATCACCATAGAAGGCAGTAGCTTTCAGGACAACAAACTGTTCGAAAGCTTGGACGAAAATTCCGAAGATGATGCAACTGTCTCAGATAACTGGTCGCTTGCGAATTGCAATTCTGATGCCGAAACCGATTCCGACGATCACGAAGACCTGTATCAGTTTGAGCCGCTCCTCGAGTACGCAACCCTATACTGGTTCAGACATGCTGCCTATTTGAACACCAAGTCTTCGCAATTGTATAATCACCAGAGGCCCTTTTTTGGCGAACATTCAGTCACTCGAGCGAACTGGTTGCGCGCGTACATCTATCATCGAAGCTATCGCGGCCAAAGCTTGTCTCAAGACTCTAACCTCCTAATTGTTAGCGCCCGCTTTAACGTTCTCAATCTGGCGATGGCACTTCTCATAGACCCCAGAGGTAGCTACATAAGTCGTTGGCTCACCAGGCTCTCGCGGAGCTTCGATTCTGCGCAGACGGCAACGTTAAACGAAGCGCTGTGTGTAGCATGCGCAGAGGGCCACAGAGCTTTTGCCAACGCTCTTCTTCAAATGGGGGCCGACCCAAATGGACATGGCTATACGGAATCGACACCACTCGCCGCGGCCGCATCCCTCGGCCGTACGTCCATTGTGCAACTTCTTGCCGATAATGGACTCGACACTTCTCAAGAAGAATATTTGGCTTATCACAGGAAAGCGTTCTGCAATGCCGCAAGCCAAGGAAACAACCGCCTTGTCAGACTGTATCTAGGCGAGATACCGGACGAACAGAAGGGTCGACAACAGCCGGGTCAACCACCCAGTTCTGACCTACTTCCTCCGTCAGGCGACCAAAATCAGATGAAGAATGTTGTCGATATTGACGTCAAGGACACCTATGGGAGGACACCTCTGCAACTAGCGGCGATGTACGGACATACCGGTGTCGTCCAATTTTTGCTTGACAAAGGGGCGAATGTCGAAGGAGCGCTGCATATGGCAGTAGCCAGCAACAGGGTGTCTATTGTCCGGATGGTCCTGTCGAGACATCGAGACTGTAACGTTTTCGACGAAGACCACAATACTCCGCTACATCTGGCAGTCCGTATACCAAGTTATGACATTGTTTGCTGTCTGCTGAAGCAAAATGCAAGTTTTCTCCTGCGAAACCGGCAAAACTTGACACCCCTCCAGGTGGCGGCGACATTGGGAAATGCAGAAGCTGTCGCGCTCTTCTTTGATAGACGCCCAAGTAACCAAGTTGAAGATGCAATTTGGATAGATGCAATGGGGAGGGCAGCATCCAGGGGCTACGGTAATGTCGTGACGGTATTGCTTGCGCGAAGAGTCCCGCCAGATCTGAAGGATGGTTCTGGGATTACCGCACTGCAGAATGCCGCGTCGGAAGGATCTGAACAGGTTGTTAAGCTTTTGCTCAATGGTGGAGCGGCTATTGACGCGCTCGACAACAGCGGAGAGACGGCCCTGTTCTTCGCTACGCAATACTCACGTCAGGCTGTCGTAAAGACGCTGCTTCAATACGGAGCAGATGTTACTATTACGAACCCCGAGGGATGGACAGCACTCATGTTCGCAATTCAAGGAGGCGATGTGGGAATACAGGCACTGCTCCTTTCGAAAGGTGCTGTGGTAAGTGAAGAGCAGAAGCATCTGCTTCAGTCTATGTTTGCAGATAGGCTCTCGACTAGGCTCGAGGTTCCCGGTCTTGGAGGAATCGAGGATTTCGTAGAACAAGGAGTATGATGATGTGATCACATCAGGAACGGCGCATACGAAAGGTTTCGTTTGACACATGATAACATATGGAGTGTAGAGCTTGTAGTTATGAGTTTCAGTCAAACTGAGAGACTCATACCTTTCACAGTTGGTTTGGTTGACCACCAATGTCTGGCCTTTGCGCTCAGTGGATTGACGCCTAGAACCATGCACTCTGAAACAGTCAATAGCGGCGCCTTCATGCTCGTCACATCGCAACTACACATTCACCTTGGGGAGTCTCCGGATTTGCATCGCATTTCGTGGAAAACCGTTGAATTCGCAAAGCACAGTGCTACTTCCTGTCCACTGCACTTGGGTATGTAGCGATCCTCAATCAGCGGTTCCACGTCCTCACATCAAGGGATGATCTCGAAGTGAGACCAACCCATTGGTGCTCATGTGGAAAGCCGTCTTCAGCTGCCCACCCAGGCCATGCGGACGCGTCCCTTCCGTGGGACAAGGCGGAGGAGGAAAAAACGGATAAGTGTGATCGGCGGTGGAAGAGAGAGAGAGATGGACGAAACGTGTGCGAGAGAGAATGCGTCGATTGTGATGCAAGATATCCGGAGACCCCAAACGCCCCTTGTTGGTCAAGGATTTTTTTGGATGTCCCATCTTCTATCCGCAAAGGGCTGTCTGATTATGATCGGGAACAGCAGGCTCTAATAGCCCCTGTCAGGGTGTTGTCTATACGCCATGTCGCAGGTGCTTTTTGCAGATCCGAGATGAGAGCCACCATCGTGAACCGTTATCCGTCGTGAAACCCAAAAGAAAGGAAACCCGTCAAAGCGACGAGTCTACTTCCTCCGGAAGGAGCAGCCCTCGGTGAGCCTGGCCTTGCCACCAGTGGGCTGGCAGAGGACGGTGGTGCAGCCCTGGCAGATGACAACGGTCTGGGCGTGCGAGAAGACGGTGGTGATGGTGAAGCAGCCAGGGCACTTGACGTCCATGAAGAAGGAGCGGGGGGCGGGCACGAGAGTCTGTATCCGCATCTTAGCATTGGGGGACCAGGACGGTCACGCGAGAGTGGCCGAGGGTGAGGGCAATCGTACCTTGAGCTTGTGCTTCTTGGCCTCGGCGGCAGGGGAGGGGTTGAGGAGGTCAACGGCGAGAACCTGTCGACAATTCATCAGCACAACGTTCGGTCCTGGTCAAACAAGCACCCCGACGTCCAATCCAGGTCCATATTCCATGTCGTGTTCCCATAAAATCTTCATCCTCGTGATCTTCATCGTGGTCGAGCAGTAGTGTTGTGGCGAATGATTGTAGGCGTCATTGAGGTGGTTGGTCGTCGATTCGTAGTCACACACGTGTCGCTGGAGGACGTCGAGGGCAGCAGCGGAGGGAGTCTCACCATCTTGACTGATTTCGTTGATCGATGCGAAGAGTCGGATCGGTGCGAGTGCGGATTGTCTTGACGGAATCTGGAGGGGTTGAATGGCAGATTTGGACACTCGCAGGGTGGTGGTGAAAGCAGAAAACTTCGGTGTTGCGGGTCGGGGTTTCGCCTTCGCCTCCTCACTCGCCAGGCTGCACAGGCGTCGCCCGGGCTGAACGATAGTGCGGATAGGGTTCGCTTGCCCCCGACATTTTCACTCCCGCACGTGACACTCAGAGGCTCCACTTCCGTGCTCTCGACTTCGGTGTAGTCGGTCAGGGTCTCGGTGAGGGGAGCATTGGTGGGGTAGCTGTATGTCATAGCTCGATGGAGGGGTTCGTTTCTGGAATTGGCGCTGTTGCCTTGACTGTCGCCTGTTGCCTTCAGATTCCGCGACATACCGTATTGCCCCAGTACGACTCGAAGCCCGAGCAAAGTCATACCACTTGACATTCAAGCTTCTCGCCACGAGGCACAGACTCATCACAATGGCGAATCCTATGGACCAGAGGATAGCGGTCCCTATCGATGACCCAAACGCAGACACTGAGTGGTAGGTCGAGCTTAGCGACGCCGTAGTCCCGGCGCATCAGCTGATTTGAAAACAAGGAATGAAATCTTGCGCAAGCATGGAGTGATCCCCGAAAAGCCCCCGAGCCCGACGCCGATGATTGAGGAGGCCATCTTGGAGGGACGACGGATAGCGCACGAGAATCGCCTAGAAGGCAAAGACCTGGACGAGTTGGACGAGCTAGAGGATGAGGAGGATGAAGCTTTCCTCGAGATTTACCGTCAAAAGCGCATGCAAGAGATCTCGTCCATGCAGTCCAAAGCAGTTCACGGCAGCGTATACCCTGTTTCGAAACCCGATTACGCACGCGACATCACAGATGCATCGCACAAGGGCCCTGTCTTGGTCAATCTGATATCCTCTTTGGGCACGAACATCGAGTCCCGCGTGCTTTCGGAACTTTGGAAGATGGCAGCGCAGGAGTACGGGGAGGTCAAATTTTGCGAAATGCGAGCGGACAAGGCCATTGAGGGATACCCCGAACGGAATTGCCCGACTATTTTGGTCTACAAAAACGGAGATATCGCCAAGCAAATCGTCACATTGATGACTGTTGGCGGCGTCAGGATGAACATGGCCAATATGGACAACCTGCTTGTCGAGATCGGCGCTGTGTCCGAGAAGGACCTGCGTGTGGTCAAGCGAAGGAGGCAAGCTGAGGATGCAGAGGAAGAGCGGGCCATGGGCAAGGGAATCAAGACCGGCAACATCGGAAGGTCGAAGAAGGACGAGGACGATGACGATTGGGACTAAGAGGCAGGCAAGCGAGAGTATGGACGAATGCAGCTGTTCCTACAAAAGCGGCATTCTGGTTGACCCTGCGCTACCTTACTCTACCTACCATCGCGGCAAGGTACTAAAAGAGCACGGGCGAACTCAGCCACGCGGCTGTTGTGGCCCAAACAGTAGAAGACACTTCAGTGCATCAGCGACGGTCAGCTGCATAGCCGGGATTGTATTGTTTGATTACACGCCGGGAGTCGGGTGACTGTCTGCACAAGTCAAGTTGTTTGATGATGGCACACAAGCCTGGAGATTCTCACTCTCATGCCACCACCTACAGTAGGTACCTTCGTTGGTACATCAGATAACTGGGTGGGCAATGTGGTTGGAGCATCCAGTACCTCGACCCCACTAATGTCTTTGGGTGATGGACCCTGAAGTCTGGCGCGGTGCACCCCTGAAAGGTCGCGTGGGGTGAACCGCCCATGTCTCGTGTTTATTCGGGGGCGGGGGTTCTTGCGTCACGAGTCAGAGCACCAAGTCGCGTCGCGCTTCTTTCTTTAACAGCACACTGGAGAGCTTCTTAGAGGTCACCGCATGCTCTCTACGATCTGCCGTCGTCTGATGCTAACCAGCGAGTCTCTTCACCATTCCAGCGTATTTTAGTTGATTTATTGCATGTCCGAAATGGCGGACGAACCATCTCTGCCGCGGCTACCGGCGATATCCTGGAACGAGCACACCCAGAGCTTCAGCAATAACCCGAGGAAACGCGGTCGAGCTAGGCGGTCGTCCAACGCAACACCACTCTTCAACAATTCAAGCGATCCCGCAGTCTTCTCGAGCGACGATGATCCTGCTCTCGACAATTACGTCGAAGGCAGGCGCAAGAAGCGATACGTAGGAACCTGGTTCCAGCAGCAGCCGGCGTCCGATTCATCTTTCGAAGTCGAAGAATCCAGACCTTTGCCAAAGCCGAAGAGAACCCTCAAACGACAACTCGACAGTGGTGTCTGGATGGGAAGCGACAGCACGGATGGGGAGGAGATGCTTGAGGAGTTGAGCCTGCCGCTGCAGCCAAAGCTGCCTCAACTGAACCGAACACCCATTCAGAGGCCAACCTTGTCTGCCGCCGAACGTCTTGCCCGAGAGAAGATTCAAAAATGTCTCGACGAAGGAGATGAGGATGTGGATTTGTCGTGAGTGAACCTCATTGCCTGTTGATCCGGCCGTTTCACTAATCACTTGCAGTATGATGGGTCTTGAGAGCCTGTCGAACGCGACCATCGCACCTCTGGCCGAACTCGTCCCAATACCCCTTGTTGCCGAAGACGTTCCATTCGAGCAAAAGGATCCTTCGCTGAAGCTTTTTCTGTTCGGCAATCCTCTATTCCTCGTCCCAGGAGCGATCTTCGACCTTCAACACTTAACCGTGCTAAGCCTGCGTGGCTGCGGCCTTCGGGAACTGCCAGCTGCAGTTGCAAAGCTTTCTCAGCTAGAGACGCTCAATCTTGCTCAAAACTCATTAAGGCACCTCCCGGCCGACCTCTTGAACCTACTAGCTGCGCCAGGGAAGCTCAAGAATATGCAGCTGCAAGGCAACGACTTTTACCGGCCGCGTGGCCTCCCACAGGACATTCCAGATGGCGCCAGCATCCGTCATCCAGCGTACGAGCCGGATAATGAAGCAAAGAACGAGTTCGAGAAGCAAGAAGACCGCTTAATCACGAGATTACCTGCCCAATTCGAGGGCGTGTGTGCCATGTACCTCGCAAGATCCGCGGTGCAGTTTTCCGATACCTCGGGTTTCATATACTCTGACTTCCGCTTGGACGAACATGATGAGGGCATTATTCAAATCGACGAATCCGAAGCCGACACGATTTCAGCATGTCCACCATCCTCGGCGCCGTACCAGTCAAAATCAACGGGCAGGAGCATTGACACTTCAAAAGCAACTCGCGTGCCAAGCCTCCTGGAGCTGGCGGCACGGAGCTGCTACCGGAGTTCCGACCTGGAGGAGTTGAAACACTATCTTCCGGAAAGTCCGTCCCACATGAGGGACTTGCTTGACCGTGCGGTGATGCAGAGGAGCATTGGTGGATATGAGTGCGCACGGTGCAAGAGGACACTAGTCATGCCCTCCACACAATGGCTGGAGTGGTGGCGCGTGTCACAAGTTAGGGCGCTGTCGACGCCGACGCTCGAAGGACAGGGCGCGACGTTTGTTCCGTGGTGCTCGGATCCAGACGAGCAGGGCGTGCCGTTCCTGCGGATGGGCTGCTCATGGAAGTGCGTGCCCGAAGAGAGGAGGATTGGAGCGTGGGCACTCCGAGATGACCAGATTGAGTGAACATATGTGTACATTGAACATACATCTACTTGTCGAATATGAACATCGCTCGCCGAGAGTTGTACATTCAGAGGTCTTGTTTTCTCACAAGCTGCTATTTTTGGCACTCACCCCTGCCCCTTCACAGATTGTTCCCTTGTTGTACCACTTGACGACCGGCAGCATTTCTGAGGCGACCCATCTTGCCGTTTGCGAGTGTAAGCTTCCCTGCCCGAAGGGTCGGTTGCCTTGTCCCTCCTCCGCCGATCTCCGATCTCGAGCCCCTCGATCGCCTGCGTAGCTTGACTGTCGACGACTCTCCCTCCACTGAGGCATCGTCTCTTCGGATGACTGTTTGCCCCTCGCAAGTGCCTGGAACACAACGAGCTGATCCTGCAAGTACTCATCGCAGACGCCAGGCCGTTCGACCTCCCGCGCCAGCTCCACCACCAGTTTCCTCGAAAGTGCCGTCGGAAAATCCCCCTCCTTGGCCCTCGCCCGCCCCTTGCTTTTGCCCCCTTGGGGCGTCGACGTGAGAACATCCCGCCCCCAACGCAGGCCGCCAGCCGACCGTGCCACGAGGAGCACGTAGACGCGCGCATTGTGGCCCGAGTCCTCCACGGTGCGGAAGACGACCTCGGAAGCGGGCAGGCGGTTGCTGACCTGCTCGACCAGCCCGGCCTGCAGGTCCCCGTGCAGATGGCGCGGCGCCAGGATCGTGACATCGACGGCTGTTACACCCCGACACGCTCTTGTGTGCTCGGGCGGCTGCTGCTGTCGCGGGCGCAGCTTCTCGCCCCTTTCCAGGGGCGTGATGCCGAAGCGGATGGCGCCGCGGCTCGGGGGTCCGAGGGACCAGCCGCGCCGGATCAGCGTGCGTGTCACGCTGATGCCGAAGCGGGACTCGAGAGCTGGGAGGAGGACCTGGTCGGCGTAGTCCCAGGAGAGGGAGAAGCTGACATTGGTGCCGGCGGCGATATCGAGGGTGATGGGGTCGCCCGCGGCGAAGATGAGGAAAGGCAGCAGGGCCTGGAGGATGAGGAGGGCGCTGGCGCCGGGCGACTCGGGAGTGATGGCGATGTGACGCTGTGCGAGGTCGGCTGGTGGCAGGGTCGGAGAGAAGGTGAGGCATCTCGCGCCGACGGCCAAGCTCGTAGTGGTGGCAGCTGTTGCGGCGGCCAGGTACTGGATGGAGGTGGCGTGCTGCGACTTCAGACCTGGACAGTGTTAGGATCAGATCTTGCTCTTCGGCCTCGTACTACTGCTGGCAAGCAGAGGCAGCAGCAAGCGGAATGCCGGGGGGGGGGGGTAAACTTGCCACCTCCACGACTACGATTACCCCTGATTTCGGATACTGTCACCGGCTGCGACGTAACGGCTGCGAGCGCGACGGCCACACGCAGAACCTGGCCACCACCCTCTCCGGTCCAACCATCAAGCTGTATAGGCTTGGAAGTGTGCTCCATCATGGGGTGTGGTTGCCTCGTCGCGATTAGTGATTCAACAGACTCGTTTCATGGGGTAACACGGAAATGCGATTGGGGGCCAAGACTCAGAGAATAGAGCAAGACAAAATGCTGAAGATGGGTAGTATTCAGTATTCTCACGAGGCAGTGAAGATGCTGAGAGCTCTACAGTCCTCATCTGTATTGAAAAGAGAGCATCTTTGCATCCAAGCATGGGATGGTCGCCCATTGTGTGCGCCGTTACCTCGCCCAGGCAGCATCGCCAGCTGAGTCACGCCGGAAGCATAGGCAGCCCCAACGGATGGCGAAACACTACACAGGGTATCACAGGCAACGAGTAGGCTGAGGGGGCTATCCAGAACTTGCTTGATTGAAAACATTGACGTGTATTGAATGCACAAGCTCCTTGATTATACAATGCACGGGTCGGGCAACGGAATCCGCAAGTGATCGTAGCTCATCCTTGCTTTGCCTCACCTTAGGTGCCTGCCCACTTGGCTTGCCTGGGTCGGGGCACCGTTATGAAGCCCTCCGCGGTTGCGGCATTACCACCCACACAAACCAGGCACATAATCAATGATCTGTCCTTGGAAAACTCTTGAAGCCTGCTCGTAGGAGAACAAAATCCTGTTTCTTCCCCTTCCTACCCTCATCCTGGCCCTCCAATTCCTGTCGTCCCGACTCAATAGCTGTGCTGGGATGAGCATGGCTGTTCCGCGTATCATCGCATGCTGGGAGCTTCGTTCTGATACCAAGATATGCAAGCATAGGCTCCCGAACTCTGCACTCGTGGTATCACCAGTAGCCTTCATGTTTCGGAGTGGATGCCAACTCTTGCTTTTTGCGACGCGGGTCAGGATAGTCACCGTCTTTCCCCTTGCCATGTACCTTTTGCCCCTGGAAGACCTGCTGTTGCCTTGCAGGCTGTTTGTCTCGTGACTGCAAGATCCTCAGGGCTGTTGACCCGATACCAGGCAACCAGACCCTTTCAGTTGCTGTTCACCAAGCATAGGACTGCCATGCCACATGACCTGCAGCCACGTAGGAGGGGCTTGACCTGGGATCATGTGAAATCAGTGGTCGAAAGCGTCGATGTCTGTATATATAGCCCCCCTCCCCTCTGTTTTGAAGGCTGCCTTCCGTAGCTGCCGTGTGAGTCGTGTCAACCCCAGAAGTCTCCGGAATCCTATCTGACACTACCCAGCTTGTCTCCGGACAAGGAAATTATAGTGCGAGACTGCTTCACCATCTATGGCTTCAGTCGGCCGGCTAAATGGTCTACGCGATTCTGACTTGGTGTGAGCATCGGCTTGCTGATGCGGCCTCGGTGGCAAGGGAACGAACGTCCTCGTCAACATCACCGATCAGTAATGTGGCAATTTTGGAACCATATAAGCCATCCGATGGGTTGCCAGAATAGAGAGCTTACTCATTCCATCTCTTCAAACGCTGCGTCTCTCTGTGGCCGCGGTCTTTCCGGGCGGCAAAACTTGCCGACAGTCTTGCGCGGCCTGACGACTACGCCACACCGACTGACTTCACTCATCCTCATATAAAGTTCCGAGAAACGGGCAGTCTGGTACGCAACAGACAAATTTTTTTTCTGCGAGAATTCTATTCTATCTATGAACCAAAAGAAGGAAGGGAAAGAGAGGCTCCACCGTCCACCCGTACCGACTAGAGCAACCCTGAGGGGAGCCACAGATGCGATGATAAGAGAAGGAAATCAGTATGAAACAAGAGTCTCGACCACAGAATGCCATCGCCATGTCACAACCTTTAAGTACGTGCGAACGTCTTCTCTTGTGATCAAACAACCCGAAACCCAGCCTCCAGTCTGTGTACATCAAGGTGCACATAAAAAGAGAGGCATCGACTCAACGACACACCATGACACGTCGGTACGATCTAGTTCGACCTTGAAAGGTATTGTCGGACAGGAGTTGGCGGGTCCGGTGACTTCGGCCGAGAGGGAGGCACCTGGCTTCGTCAGTCCGTGATTAAAGGCAAGGTGCGCTGTTACCATACCCCAACAATGGCCTGGCATAGGCACTGGACAGACTATGTTCTCAGGACCGCTTGGACTTGGAAGCCCTGGACTTCTTTGAGATTTTTTCCACGGCATCGCGATACTCTTGTCTTTCAACCGGACGCTGAGGGAACACGACGACTCCGGCATAGCCTCTTTGGCTCTCTTGCTCTTTCGAGATTTGGTACGTGTTATTACGATCAGTCAAACCCTGGGCGAAGAGAGTCTTCTGCGAATAATCTTGGCCGCCATTTGCACCCTGCTGGTTGGATGTAGTTGATCTAACAGGTTAGCACATTTCGCTGTGTTTTTGACACCGGCATGGCGTGGCCGCGTGACGCACTCCTCAAAAGTCCCGGCGTTCGAGACGTTGGAACTGGGACGCTGGCTGGTCCGTTGTTGTCTCGAAACGCTGATGTGTCTGCTAGACATTTTGGGCGAGGAGGGTGGAAGGATGATGACAAGAATGCTTGGGTATGCGAGCTTGGAGGTATGTTGCTTGTTGCGGCTGAATCGCCCGTTTCATATCTTTAATATTAGCTGACAGAACTACAGGTGTCGTACTTATACTCCAAGGTGTTACCAAGGTCTGGCTCAACAGAGTGCGAGCGAAGGTGGCTGTTCCAGGGGCTTAGTTCCGCGGCTGCCTGGCGACCCCAGGTAGGTATGTTCGGTGAGCTCAGTGAGTAGCGTACCTCAGTCGGCAAGTCGTGACTTGTATTAAGCCCTCTCGTCAGCCCCGTCAAGGCTAACTAGGTGTCTGAATTAGTCGGGATCTTTGCTCAAATCGAAAATCGATTGAAAAACGCCTAGGTGACGGTTTTGCTCACCCCTGAGCATTTGACACTGCATTGTATTGCCCAACGGCGCGGGCTGCTGCCTGGCCGGTAGCGCTGGAGCATCGACCCCCTGGTGCAAAGTGTACAAAGTGTACAAAGCCAAGGTCTGTGTCTGCCATAGCGGTACTTGGCAAATCGCTCGGATGCATAGCGTGGTGCCGTTGATGGCCTCGGGACGGTTTACAGACAGGACCAAGGAGGATGTCAGCCCTTCAAACCCCGTTTTCGCTGTTGTTCGCTGGCCGCCGCTGCCTCGCGGCTTTGTTCGAGGCTGCTCAAGAGGCGAATGCTAACCAGTGGCCCACAGCGATTTAGGTCAGATCGTGGCTCATGAGAGCAAATGCCTTCCGCCGGAACGATGTGGGACATGAAGGCAGAGAAAAAGGTTTTACGTCAGAACGCTGGTGAAACTTCTCCATCCGGGCTGCGGAGTCTTTTTGATATATGTCGACTGGAGGGCGAGAATAGCCTGGACATTCGTTATCAGCCCCCCGCTCCATGCAGCCAGCAGCTGAAATGCCATTCAACACCCTCCCAGTGCCTCGCCCAAGACACCACAGTGCTGCCGGCTAGGTCCCTAGGACGGCACAGCACGCCCTGGAGCCATCAGAAAAGCCAGGACAGCAGCCAAGGAGAGAGCCAAGGAGAGCTGTTTGACCAAACTCAATCAAGTTTGGGACCATTCTTCTCCTTCACCGGGGCACTGTCGCGGCAAGATTTCATTGCCGGCCGTCCCCAGCCTTGGGCTGCAACTGGCACCAGAACGTATATGATGGGCTCAACTCCTCGGCACCATCTGCATGGATCAGCAGGTTTGGCTAGCCTGTATTTCTCGAGGAACTCTTCCTCCAATGCGCGACAGCGTGAACCTTCCATGGGGGTGCCATAGTGTTATTATCGAGGTCATCACTGTGGACAGCTGGTACCAAAACTCTTGAGCTGGGTGGAGAAACGGTGGCTAAAACATCACCACTGCAGCATGGGCGCAGTGATCACTGGGCTGGCTGCTGCAATCTTGAGCCAATGACATTGGATCAAGCGCTTCGCTTTCCCAGATCCTGGAGGAGAACCTACAACGACAAGCACGCTGTGGTTGGACCTACATGTCCATCACTGTCAAAGGACACAAGGCAGCTGGAAAGATGGAATTTGCACCATGGCTTAGCACATGGAGACTTCTTTTGGGTATTGCGGTACCAGGCAGTATCCACACAATGATCTCAGTGTCATTCTGTATCAAAGGGACCAGATCGCCATTCCTGCGCATTACTGTCGCAAGTGATGGAACCAGAAGCCACAGCCGGTCGAACGGATCAGTCGTCTTCACCAACACCAACACCAACACCAACACCAACACCAACACCAAATGATGGCCTGGAACTCCACTACCTGCAAAGCCCCAAGCCTAATCTTGATCGAGAGATTATATTGTTCAGAAACAGAAGCATGCGTTGCAGCCAAAGCCTGGTTATGCAACCTAGCCCAGAAGATGGAAAGGCATATCTCCAGACATCAGTGAAGTGTGGCAACCTAGGGGAGCCTTCATGCCCTAGACCGCTTCTTGTGAAACTTATCAACATCATATATGGCCCTTTCCCTCTCGCGCTTTCTCTGGTCCGAGGGTAATTTCGAATCAATGAATGCTGCTTGGCCCCCCTGCGAGCGGTGATCACGGACATAGTTGTTCGTGTTGAAAGCCGCTACCTCCCTTCTGAAATTTGCCTCTTGCGCTTGGTGTTTCTCTCTTTTCACAGAGTCTTCCGTATCCTCACCGCTAGGAGTGGTCAGTCTTGGTGCGATATCAAACGGTGAAGAGGAAACCGACCTCCCATACTGGTTCGCATCTGAACGGCAATCGACATCATACTCGCTTTCAGAAGCGGCTGGCCTCTTCTCTTTCCTTCTTTTTGACATCCGATCTACCTTGCCACTTCTCTCGAGTTCGGGATAAGCGACTTTATTGGACAACGTAGAGCTTTTGTAGGTCTTAGAAGACTGAGCATGCCTCTGGTCATGTGCAGATCTCGAAGACCGATGGCTGCTTGAAGACGACGGGTCTTCGGTCTTACGGCTCGACTGGTGGCTTCTTTTCTTTTCCCAATCTGCCATAATGATATTTTTCTCGAGAATGTATCGGTTCTGGTGTGCGAGAATCGGACTCGGGTCGCTCGATTTGAAATCGGCAGAGTTGAATTTTCGAGGAGATGCTGGGAAGAAACGGGGATCCGGCAGCAGCATGCCTGTGAGGGAAACGAGCTTGTTAAAGATTTGGCTTCACCACTAGGTCCCTTGTCTCTTCGGATCCCATATCCAGGCCACGCGTCCAACCTCTCTTGCGAATCGCACACTGCCTGTTACACCGAGCCATGGTTTCTAAGAAAACAGTGCAGCCCAGTTCGGAGGCGTCAAGTGGGATTCTGAGGGTGACGACACACAGGACCTAGTGCCTCAGAAAGGCGCTCGACCTCTTCGCAAAGTGGCTCTCATGACGATGATGAAAGCCTCACTATCGCTTAAGCACATGCTGCGTCTTGTGCCCGTCGTTGTTCAACCACATCTGCTTCTTTCAAGTCAGCCT